ATGGGAAAAAAGTAAAAATTTTAAAAGCGGGTGGGGATTAGTTTTGGAGGGGTTTGGGTGAAAATTTATTTAAAAAATGTAGGGAAGAGGGTAAGGTACCTGGGATTGGCAGAGAGCATGCATAGTTCCTTGTATAAAGGAAAAGGGGGACAAAAGAGATGCAAAAATTATAGGGGGAAAAGCTGTTGAGTTACCTGGAAAAGGGTTTTTATGGCAGAGTTATTACTGAAAGAATTAAAGAAAAATGAGAATAGGATGCAGATGAACAAGGAGGCTTTGGAAAGGTAGGGGGTGTGTGGACAGGTTTTACAGTGAAAAATATAAGTGCAGTATTTGATAGGTAAAGAGGTCTTTGGGGCTTTTGGGATTTGGAAAAGGGTATGACAGGGTGGATAGGGGGGCAATGTGGCAGATGTTGCAAGTGTATGGGTGGGAGGTAGGTTACTGAAAGAGAGAAGAGTTTTTACGAGGATAGTGAGGTCAAATTAGAGTACATAGGAAAGAGGGAAATATTTCCCAGTAAAATTTGGCCTTTGAAGGGGGTGTGTGATGCCCGTGGTTGTTTAATATATTTATAGATGGGGTTTAAAAGGGAAATAAATGCGAGGGTCTTGCAAAAGGCGTGGGGTTAAAAAATAAGGAATCACACATAAGTGGGGGTTGTCCAGTTGCTTTTGTGATGACACTGTGCTCTTTGGGGGTTTTTGAAGAGAAAATTGCAGAGATTGGTGGATGATTTGGTAGGGTGTGCAAAAAAAAGAAAAATTTAAAAGTGAAAAACAGGAAAAAGTAAAGGGATGAGGATAACAAAAAAATTAGGTGTGAAAGATTGGATATCAAAATTGGAGGGAGAGAGTATGGAGGCGGTGAAGTATTCAGATATTTGGAGGGGACGTGTCAGGGATGGCTCTTGAAAGGTGAGGTGAATCATAGAAATTTTGAGGGGGGAAAAGGGGGTGATGGGGCTTAGGAGTTGTGGAGACAAAGAATTTGTCCTTTGGGGGAAAAGGGGAAGTATGAAAAGTTAGTTTTTTCCAACACTTTATATGGGTGGAAGCTGGGTGATGAATGTTGCAGCGAGGAGAGGTGGAGGCAGTGGAGGATGTCATGCTGAGGGGGAATGTGTGGTGTGAATATAATGCAGAGAATTGTAGTTTGGAAGTTAGGAGGAGGTGCGGGGGTTACCAAAAAGTTGTCCAGAGGGCTGAGGAAAGGGTTGTTGAGGTGGTTGGAATGTAGAGGAATGGACGAAAAAGAATGATTTAAGAGTGTATCAGTTGTAGTGGAAGGGGAAGGCGGGGTGGGGTCGGCCCAGGAAAGGGTTTGGAGGGAGGGGGTAAAGGAAGTTTTGTGTGCGAGGGGCTTGGCTTCCAGAGGCGGCGTGAGCGTGTTGATAGGAATGAATGGAGCGAATGGTTTTTAATACTTGCTGTGTTTGGGTGTGAGCAAAGTAACTTTTATGAAGGGGGTTTAGGGGGAAACCGCAGGCCGGACTTTAGTCCCGGGGGATGGGAAGTTGAAGATTTAGACACTTATGCGGGATATGGGAATCTTTATTCAGGAAACGTTTCGCCCACAGGGCTTCTCAGTCCAAAAAAGAGGAAGGCGAAAGGAGAGGAGGAGTATGAGGTAATCAGTCCTCGCCTGGAGTCGATGTGTTGCCCATCAATCTTGTAAAAAGGGAAACATGGACTGAACACATCGACTCCAGGCTGAGGGCTGATTACCTCTATCCCCCTCCCCTTTACGCTTCCCTCTTTGTATTGGATGATGAAGCCAGTGGGGCGAAACTTTTCCCTGAAAAAAAGATTCCCTATGCTGCATAAGTGTCTAAATCTTCAAAACTTGTCTTTTTTTCAAACCATTCATCACGATGGGAAGTACAGGCCTGCATCTAAAGGAGGGGTGTTAATGTTGCATTTTTAAAAATGTAGTGAAAAGCCCCCTTTGGCAAGACAGGGTGAAGTGAATGTTTTTAAAATTTTTTCTTTTTGGGCCACCCTCCCCTTGGGGGGGAATGGGCCCGTGTGAAAATATAAAATAAAAAATAATATATATTATTTATATATTTTATATATATATATATATTATATATATATATATAATATTTTATATATATATATATATAGTATAATATAAAATATATATATTTATATATATATATATATTTATATAATATTTATATATATATAATATATAATTATATATATTTATATTATATAAAAAATAATTATAAAATTTTATATATATATATTATATATTATATATATTATATATTATATATATTAATATATACTCATCACATTTTAGAGTCACAAAAAGCAACAAAACCCGGGAGTTCCCCTTTGGCGACATGTCATTTAAAATTTTTAAGAGTGTGCCCTGATTAAAAAAAGTTCAAAGGAAAGGAATTTCCCACCTCAGTGAGTTGGGTATACGTGAGATCCCGTAGACCCTATTTGACCGTATTTTTTTGTATTATTTCAATGTTCCTTGAAAATGTGAGTAATCACAAAATCATTTATGCTGTGGTTACATTGCATAATATAATAATATTCAGAAACTATAACGACCCTCTTTTTTCCCTGACCCCAGCTTTTACAAGTCCCCCCAAACACTTTGTATCACAACCGACCTTGTGCATGTAATGTCAAAGCACCTAAAAACATTTTTGCTATAAAGTTTCCTCTATATTACATTTTTCCAATAGAAAAAAAATTCCTTTTAACTATGCTTACATTGTTCCACTTAGCCCTCTTGTCTCCTCTCCTGCGCCCTTTGTCTCCTCTCTGCGCCCTCTTATTTTTGTGTTTGCCCCAGAATGTTTCTCTTCACTTCACGTGAAGTCTTACCCAACAATAATATAAGTTTGGTTTAATTCCTCTCGCTCAGAAGTTATACAATTTTTCTAAAAATACAAAAACCCCGGGCAGGTATAGCCTCATCTGTAAGAATCTACACAATTTTCATAAAATATAAAAATCCGTATTGTTTAATAAATTCATCATAATACAAGACCTGCCCCTTTTGTGCCCTTCAAGGGGAAAAGGGGAGCTGCCCCTGATATGGGAAAAGGCTTTAACAAGGAATTAGAGCCCCTCTTTCCCCTTTTTTGTATCATATCTAATTGCTTCAAATTCCCCAGACAGTGAATGATCCATACGGGCTTAGCGTTTCTTAAAAATAAAAATAATAATAAAATAAAAATATAATAATAATAATAATAAAACCTGCCTTCCAGTTTGGGGCAAAACCCAAAACTTAAGCTTGACTGGGGCATTCCTCTCATGCTACTTCTTAAAGGATGTGATCTAATTACAGCCATCTCGCGCAGCTCGCAGGGGATACTCATTCACTCACTAACACTAACTCTCACTCTTGACCTTCTCCTAACGATCCAATCATGACATTACACAACTGCTCTTGCAACCACTTCTGAGACCTCATTCTTGATCGACTGGTCAGACACAAGGCTGCGTTTCGAGGACTGAGCTTAATACCCCCCCCCCCATCGGGTTTGGCGCTATGAATATAATCTTCACTGTCTAATGTCTCCTTCAAGAAAAGTGTAATAATTATATTTTAAATAATAGTAATATAGATTGCTCTTCATAGAGCATAACCCTCAATGGAGGTTCCTCTACGCGGTGGAGGTCTTCATCAAGGAACTGAATCCTCTTCCTGGGGTACAACCTGGTTGCCTCCCATTTCCCCGGGGCCTATATGATACTTATGGGTTTAGTACTTCTTCCTAAATATAATAATAATAATAATAACGATAAAAAAAAAACATACCCGGGCGGGGGTAGAATGCCATCAGAGCCTCAAATCTCCAGACCGTTGCGTTAGCCACTTGCAATTGTGGTCACAGTAGTGCCTATGCTAACCTTCGTATGGTGTAGAAATATACCTAACTGGATGAATCTTATTGTGGCTAGCTGGCCCAGTGGCTAACGCGGCGGTCTGGAGCTTTGAGACTCTCTGATCGCGGGTTCTATCCCCGCCCGTGGGTGTCATTACGATTTCGTGAGTCATAATAACGGTAAAAATTCACAGGTCCTCCTCGCTTGGATGTGATATATATGTATTTCCTTCAACAGAATTTTAAAATCAAGTGATGCTCCTAAAATATGCAGCAGATTTACAGAGAATACTTTGAATATCAGTAAGCACTAAACGAGTGTGGGTCATTCAGCAGGTATAGGTACAGGTAGATTCGCCAGGACGGGTCCCGGCCCGGGTCTTCTCCATGCAGTGACCCGGCTTGAGGTGACTGCAGCTTAGCCTCAGTCTTCCAACAACGGGCTATTTTCTCACCAGTCAGGTTAAGAGTAATTAATCACCTGCTGAGAATAATATTCACTTATATACCTGTAGATTACCCATAGATAGTTCCCGGATCTCAGACTAAACCTGGTTCAATGCCTGGTCAGCCAGGCTCTTCGTACTAGCTGCTCATTTTGAGACATTTATGGTAAGGAAGGCAACACGTTACGTCAGTAACGAGAAATGTTCACACTGAACAATTATAAATTACTGAGAGGTTACTAGCGTGTCCCTTAATATTAATGTTATTTTCATTGTCATGCATACAAGACATTAAGGCAGAATGAACCCTTTAATAAGACAAACCTTTACTTCCAGAATAAGCTTTTCAAGTCAGCTCTGAAAAAGCTTTGTCTGCAAGCTTGGTCACAAGGCTTGGTCTCCAAGCTTGGTCACAAGGCTTGGTCTCCAAGCTTTGTCATTATGCTTAGTCCCCGAGCTTGATCTTCATAATTGGTCTCCAGGCTTGGTTTCCATACCTGGTCTCCAAGCTAAACGTTGTGGTAATACAGCGTCTTTGTTTTGCAACTTGTTTGTATACAATAGCTCTTACGCTCAAATAAACATGTAAGTGTAACCTGGTATTGGATAATCCAAACATTTTTTTAAATTGGAATTAGATCAATTTTCTGCATAAAAGTATATTAATATTCTGGTTAATAATCTAGCGTACATAAAAAGTATCATTTCATTAATTGAATTAACAATTAGGTCATAATGTTCAATGAAAATTAATATATTTTGACTAACAAGCTTTTTGAAGAGTTGTATACTAATATTCACATTATTCATATTAATATTCCACATAAATAATTCAAATACCTCAATCCATTTTCTAAGCCCCACTGAGGCCTGAAAAAGACAGGCAGCAAGCCTCGGGTCGCTGGTAGTTTTAATAAGCCTTGAACCCAGCTCTTTGAGAAAACCCATGGCATGCTTTCCCATGGACCAAGAGTTTCCAGTTTTGTAGGAAAGAAGTGATATTGGTGGGCCAAATTCCTATACTTTTTGAGCTTGTGATCAGTAGTACCACCTTACTGAACAGCACTATAAAAGGGGATGTAGGTGTCAGCTAGGAAAGGTGCGCAAGTATAGTTCCAGGACACCAGCAGTCTACTGTTCTTCCAGGGATATGATCATTCCATCAAGGCGGCTGACGAGCATATCAGGGGTTTTAAGTAGTAAAGGTCGAGGTTCTCTTTCGCTGGGTACAAGGCTGCAGCAAAGTTTCTTTTGATGATCTCATTAACTTCACTGTGTCTAACACGTCAACCTGTGAAATTCGAACGTTCAGACCATACACACCGTACTGGTCAACTACTACTTTGCTGGAAGTACACTTGTATTAAATGTGAGGGAGAAAGTCACAAGAGTAAATCACACTTATTGTGGCCGTTTTTCATCAAGGCGGGATATCCCCAAAGAAAACACATACACCATTAATTACTACCTAGCTGTCTGTCTTGGCCAAAGTTTACTTTTATATAAATTACCCACTGAACTGCTCTATCTACACCATTTTTACGAAGTGCAGTCACTATACTTCTCACCTCAGGTGTTCTAACCGGGACTAGTCAACACTGAGATACAAAGACTGGTGATTTATAGTTCCTAACTTGTAATCAATTAGAATATTTAGCAGCATAATTATCATGCAGGATGTAATTAAAATTCTGACGCGTGAAAAACTTTTTTTTCCCCATGCTTAGTCACACGTCATGAGATAAGTGTCCACTGACCAGACTTTGGATAACAGCCTGAGACAGTTAAGTATTTCACAACTAACCCACATATTGCTAATGAAAACTATAAGAAGTTCGGTCCGTTCTGAACCATTGTCAACTCTTACGTTACTAGATAATGTCCAAGCGAACCGAAACATCATCTGGTTCATTATTTACAATTTATGGGTTAGTTGTCAACTGAATAATTGGCTTAGAAAACCGACAAGTTGATATATGAAACACATATGAGACACTTGTGCAGTATTTGGGTATCTTTATTCTGGAAACGTTTCCATTATTATTATTATAATCAAAAAGAAGCGCTAAGCCACAAAGGCTATACAGCAGGAAACGTTTCCAGAATTAAGATACCCAAATATCGACATTTGTCTCATTTATCTAGCTATAAATTGATCCAACTACAGTATTATGGGCCAGAATACTGTAGTTCGTAAGCCAGAATTTCAGGCTTACCATTTTTTTTAAGTGTCAAGTATTGTAGCTCTGTGGCAGGCGTGGTCAAGCTATGGTTCTGCGTGGCTCTTCTCTCACTATGTAGTTCTTGAAACAATTTCCATATTTACTTTCTGCTCTGGATACTGTCTCATTAAGCAAATGAACAGAATTCGGTTCGCATACCACGCCTGCTCTAATGTATGCGGAGACGACTATAGTGCTGCTGCTGTACAGTTCTATGTGGAAGTAGTGCTTGTAAAGGCATCAGCTACTGCTGGAAGGGGTAAACAGTTGTAGGACAGTGCTGGAAGAAATAATAGCATTTCAAAAAGGCTAATGTAACAAATAACATGTCAAAAAGGTTGATGCAACGAGTAACTAGCTATATGACTGTTGAAACGAATAACTAGTTATAAGAGATTGTAGGAATGAGTAACTAGGTGTGAAAGAGCTAATGTTAGAATCAGTAACTGTGAAAGAGTCAATGTTGGGACGAGTAACTAGTTAGAAATAATGTTGAATCCAAGTGCACAATACCGACAATAATGAAGAAAATGTACATACTGTAACAGAAGCTTATATGTGTACAACATTTCGCTCTGTGTAGATTTATTTAGACCTTGACAAAGCTGCATACAGAGCAAAACTTTTTTCCAATAAAAGCTTGTTCTACAATATGTCTAGACTGACAGATGCAAAAACGTAAATAAAACACTGTGTAATAACACAGCGATTATCATCATCGTAGATTATGTGAATTATTATTATTATAATCAAGGGGGAAGCACTAAACCCATAGGATTATACAGTGCTTGGGGGAGGGATGGAAGGTATTCAGGTTTAACTCAGGGAACTGGAGCACACATCCAGTTCCCTAGATCAAGAGCCCCTCACCAGCATCAAGGAACCTTCCTTGAGGGGTAGATTATGTGAAGATCAGAGTTGAGAGCGTAATAAGATAACTCTGACGTACAAGAAAAAAGTCACTAGTGAAAAATAATTTAAGCTACCACAGGTAGCAGTGAACACAAGAGTTGATCAGCTTACAACACTCTTTAAGAAGCAAACAGTTATATCATGCTTTGCTTGAGTTACGTGGAGATTGAAACACACGAGTATGAAACTGCATACTGAAGTAAATACGTGAAAAAAAATCAGATAACGGCTTTAAGCCTATCAAGCTGTAAGCGCTGAGTATCGCTAGTTACGGTAATTAAAAAGAGGTTAGTAGTACTTATTTATATGCAATGTTGTAATATTAAATGTGCCATTTAATCCCAAATGGGTTTCTTAATCTTCTTAGGATCTGAATTTAGGGGTTAAGAAAACCAACTAGGTGAATACTGATGATAAATTAGATACGTGCAACTCTTGGGTATCTTTATTGAGGAAACGTTGAGGAAACGTTTCGCCACACAGTGGCTTCATCAGTCCATACAAAGGAGAAATCTGAAGAACAGGAGGAAAATGAGGTAATCAGTCCCTCAACCTTGAGTCGATGTGGTCAGTCTATCAATCTTGAATAGAATACGGCATATGTGCGGAGAAGCAGCTTATAAACCGTAGGCAGGAGAGGTGCAGCAGTCGTACGTGGTGTCACATTTGCCCAATGTGGAAGTAGGTCGTGCCCAAGGGTTAGGCAAGCGAAGAATTCCCAAGTATTAAGATCCCAAGAAGTTGCAGTGTCTGACAGGATTGTAGATCAATGGTTCAGAGAACCGACACGTTGATAAATTAGACACATGTGCAACTCTTGGGTATCTTTACTGAGGAAACGTTTCGCCACACAGTGGCTTCATCAGTCCAGACAAAGGAGAAACTTGAAGAACAGGAGGAGAATGAGGTAATCAAATGTGACCACCTACGACTGCTACACCTCTCCTGCCTACGGTTTATAAGCTGCTTCTCCGTACATATGCCGTATTCTATTCAAGATTGATGGACTGACCACATCGACTCAAGGTTGAGGGACTGATTACCTCATTCTCCTCCTATTCTTCAAGTTTCTCCTTTGTATGGACTGATGAAGCCACTGTATGGCGAAACGTTTCCTCAATAAAGATACCCAAGAGCTGCACATGTGTCTAATTTATCAAAGTGTCGGTTCTCTGAACCATTCATCAACAATCCTAGGTGAATACTGTTAGACGGCGTTTACAGGCCGCGTTTACAGTAGCGAACCTCCACTACTTCTTATACTGAATAAACCACACGAAATTAGCGCTTCGATGATGGTGATGATGATAATAATAATAATAATAATAATAATAATAATAATAATAATAATAATAATAATAATAATAATAATAATAATAATAATAATAATAATAATCTTAGAATAAAAATAACAGACCCATACGACTAATGGCCGATGGCCCAAGGTGTGGTATTTCTGGAAACACACTTGTGCCTAACAATGCAGGGTTTGAAACGTGGTTATTTCAAAATTAGGTTAGGACAACGTAACTTGTAGCAAATAAAGTCACCTGCTACAAACGAACCTCCTATCCCTGCCTGTTCCAAATGTAGGCTCGAATGCCGCTTATCAGTAACTTCAGGTTCGATGGAATGAGGTGCTTGAAAGTGTGAAAATCTCATCCACTCTGGAGTGTTTTGAGGATATCACATCCACCCTGGCTGACTTGAGGATATCTCACCTGTGTGCCATTAAGACCATTGTTAAAAATTATGTTATGTACACTAGGCTTACAAAAAGCTTCCTTACTTTACTTATTTTCTTAAAGACATGTCAATCTTACTTAGAGAAACGTCTGGACTGATTTTGGTCTGTGTAGGTCACAATTTGCCCTTTTAAAGAAATTGGAAAACACGAAATACTGATTTTCGTGCAATAATTTCTGAGTGCTGCATCTGAGTAACTTGAACCCTTCCATGCAGATAACTTCCTATCGGCTTCAAGTTTAATGTGTTTGTATATTTTAGGATATTGGTTTCTTGGAATGGTTTGAATTAGATTTGGGTTGTGTAAATCCTAATATGCTATTTTTATTGAAGAAATTTGCCTATTAGTTTCCATATGATGACTATGAATTCCTCTTCTCATTCCCTTCAAATCTTCAGCGCTAATATTCAACAGCATTATCAACTTATGCCGCACTCTGCACTACTCCATTTACATGCAGTGAGGCACTGGGGACTAAGGTTATGAAATACGGGAATACCTTTCTCGAATCGACAAGCGACCGAAATACATCTAGTTTATTTTTTTATCATGCCGAGAGCGCCTGTCATTTTTTCCATATTATTTATAAGAAAATATAGACAGCTTTTTTTTTTGTTTGCATCTTACATATCCTCTTTTAATATTTTCATGTTATAATTTTAATGTTTCTTTTCATAAAAAATAGAAGGACGAAACTCCGAATATTTGTTGCGGGAAAATCAGCTTTGTCCAACTATCTGACGACCCTTATCTTGACACTTCTAGTTTGCTGACAGCAATCATTAACATTACTACTACGGAATTATTTGCGAAGATATACTATAGTTTTGTTCACTGTGCTAATTCCTGAGTAAGAACATTTTCCTCTTTAAGAATCTGTTGTACTCATCAAAGGATTGTCTGCAAGCGATTATGACACATCCGTGTTTCAAAAGCGCAAAACAAAGTTTCTGACATTAACAATCTGTGATAACTTACTCCATGTGATGAAAGTATTCGGTGATAAGAATACCTCCGGATGAAACTGCCAGAGCTAAAGTTTTTCTTGCATTTTATGGAGCAGCAAGGAGTGAAACCTCTCAATCAATTTACAGGTGCTGGTACAGCACCTGCACCAGGCGTCGGGAACCACTTGACTGACCATAGTGATGCAAGTGAGAACCACCTGGCTGAGCATAGTGGTGCAGGTGAGAACCACCTGGTTCACCACAGTGTTAAGGGTGAGAAGAACCACCTGGTGACAATAGAGGTGCATGTAAGGGGGCACCACCCGGCTAACCACAGTGGTGCAGGTGAGGGGAACCATCTGGCTGACCACAGTGGTGCAGATGTGGGAATCCATCTGGCTAATCACACTGGTGCAGGTGTGAGGTTCAACCTTCCTTACCACAATGGTGCAGGTGTGGAGAACCACCTGGCTGACCAAAGTGGTGCAGGAAAGGTATTATACTAGACAGCACTGTCATGAAGTGTGCAGGAAGAATTTAGTGTCAGAGGATGCGATACAAAAGACGTAGAACTCGTCTAGTAAATTAACTTAGTGAGCGCTCCGAATAACAATGACACGAAAAGCGCAAGAAATTGTTCACGCCAGATCGTTGTTGTCTGGGTCTCTCTCTTTTCTCTCTCCCTCTCTGTTTTGTGTCTCGAGGTGAGGTGGGGTGACAGGCACTAGTCACTGGCGTCTGATTCACTCATTTTTCTTTGAAATAGGGAACATCGATAACGAAATAAAAGTTTTATTTTGTTTTTCATCTTCTTGTCTGTTTCAAATACTGAAATATCACAACTGTGGTAACACATGTCACACTGCTATGGACATGTGCTCTTTAAGACTTACTTGCTGGCTTGCTTTATTCAGTAACAATCAATTTACCAAAAAAATTTAACAATATTTTTTTCATATGACAGTAAAAAATACTCCAAGCATCACGAAATTAATACATATATTTTATTAGTTAAAATAATATGAAGTAAATATAGGCTAGCCTTAGAGAAGAATTATTTGACCTTAATTTGGAAATGTTAGGTAAGTTAATTTGGGTATAAAATACGAACAATGCAAAACAAGATAATTTAAGTGAATATATCTATCGACTTACTTTATTAGGCTATGCCGTAGTACGTGCCACTTGTGTTCATAACGACTCTTTCTGCGTTCAGCTGGCAGTGTCACTGACCTCACACACGAGTCACTGGCCTCACACACGAGTCACTTGCCTCACATACGAGTCACTGGCCTGACACGGATCACTGACTTCACACACGGGTCACGGGACATATGCTAACAGGGTCAAGCAACATGAGATGTGCGATTGACTACTTGAAAGGTATGACTAAGAGACAGATTGTGACTGAGAAACCCAGTAGATTGAGAGAAGACAGAGTGAGGGTTATTGACAGATTAGAATGATAGAGCAAGATTAGAATGAGTGGGACTAGACCGAGTAAGAGATTAAAATTAGTGAGAGGAATTAGATTGAAATATGAGACGTGAGATTGACGAGGATCAGACTGAAAAGAATATTAGACTGATTGAGGTGTTAGAGAAATTTAAATGAGCTATTAAAATGAGCAAGAGAAATCATAAATTCACTGATGCAATACAACCTCAATGTTATGTAAAGAATAAACTGCATATTTTACACAAATCAGCACAAACATATATATGAATGTCATGTTTTTTACTCGTATATATATATATATAATATATAT